GGGCCAATATATAGGACCTTTATTTCCGATCCATCATCGCCATCTTGAAAGTATAGCTCATTATTTTGATGAAGTGGCAAATTGTCGATAAACGGAATTACCTGCCCTTCTAGAATTTATTGGTATCTTTTGCCATTTAAATTTCCATCAATCTAAGCTATTATCTTGGTTCGGGTTTAAAGGCCGTCGTCGATTGGAATTACTTCCTGAAAAGACTGAAAATGACCAACAACTTGCATTCTTGGACGTACTAGTGAGGAAGCGAGGTAAGAAGCTGGGCCACACAGTTTACAGAAAACCAACCCATACGGACAGATACCTGCATGCTCTATCCAACCATCACCCAAGTCAAAAGTATGGGGTTATCAGAACCCTGACAGAACGAGCCCGAAGGATTTGCGAACCGGAGAGCCTCCAGATGGAACTTGAATACCTAAAAACTGCGTTCGAGGCAAATGGCTACAGCAAGAGGGAGATCGAGAGATCAATGAACTCAAGATCATCAAGATCACGGGATACCGAACAACGACCCTCCACCTCCCACGCATATCTGTCGTATATTCCGAGTGTCACCGACAGGATTGGCAGAGTATTGAAAAGACACGACATCAAAACAATCTTTAAGCCTACAAAGAAGATCCAGCAGACCATCAGGTCAGCGAAGGACAAGAGGGGCTCACTTTCAGCTGCAGGAGTTTACCGCATTCCGTGTTCATGCGGAAAGGTCTACATCGGGACTACCAAGAGATCAATGGGAACGAGACTTAAGGAGCATAAAGCAAGCTGCAGGCTAGGACATACAGAGAAGTCTGCAGTAGCTGAACACGCACGGGGCAGCGGGGAACACAGGATACACTTTGAGAGCTGTAAGTTACTAACATCGGTCAACGGCTATCACAACAGACTAGTCAGGGAAGCCATTGAGATACAAAAACACCCACACAATTTCAACCGAAAGGAGGAGACCCTTAGACTCAACCAAATCTGGAACCCGATCCTTAGGAACGCCCGAGCAGTACCGATCGATATCCCGAGACCAACCGAAGCGGAACAAGTCCCGCCCACCACCAATCGGCATAAATACAACCTGCGCAGGAGAAATCGTCAGTCTACGTCCAACATCGGAGATGGAAGGACCTCTGAAGAAGCTCGCCACTCGTGCTAGCGAAACAGGAAGTAATTCCAATCGACGACGGCCTTTAAACCCAAACCAAGATAATAGCTTATCAACGGGCCGCGAAAGCCTTAACCAATTTTTCCATCAATCTATCAATAATTTGTCCTTTGTAGATGCCTACCCATACCTTAAAACTTAGATGATTCGTTTGTTCCACCATAATATGGGGGTTTTACTATTTCCAGTAGTAGCAGTTATATCTGGTGAATATTCCATCGCTAGAAATCGTTGCCTCATCCGTCCAAATAATTTTCCTGGCAAAATCGGGGTCTTCTTGGCATTTATTTAGGTACCACCTGCAAAGGGCACGTCTTGGAGCAAAATCTCGTTGCCGTAATTGATGCACCCGTCGTATGCGCACGGCATTGCTGAGTGGAATTTCAGTGTTTCTTTCCATAGCCCTGGCGGAAGTATTCGGGTTAATTTCTATTTCTGGAACCGTTAATTTTTCGAATTGTCTATCTCTGGCTAGGCTTCTATACGTCCTAGGCCGCGGTTTTGTAAAGGATCCGTATCCGCAATTGTTTTTATCTGATCATGGCTACCTAGACAGATACCGTAAAACTGCATAGATCAGGGTTAAGCACAGCCAACTATGGTAATTATTAAAAATTGCAGATATCTTTTTAACTAATTAATAAAAATACGTGTATCGCACATCGTTTGACCGGAAATATTATTAGAAAACTATTTTTGAAAAAAAATTGGGATATTTCATTTAAAAAGATGTAACTTTATGCTATATCTCGCGAACTTTAAGACAAAATCACAAAAGCACATTTTTAAAAATCATCCTGTAGCTCAGAAACGATTTGACGTAGTTTTCAACTTCTCTCAAAAATCGAACCAGTCACATGCATATTACTTTAGGGCTAACTATGCTGCAAATGCTTAAAGCCATAGAGGCCTCTCGAATTTGGACCACTCTGTACAGAGTAAAATGCGAGCCAGTTTTGAGTTAAACTCTGCCTCTGGCCACAACTAATCATTCCGGTTGACCGCGGCTTACCATAGAAACGCAGAAGATGATCGCTCCCAATGGCCACTTGTCGGAAGATCCGCGGAGCATCAGCATAGGTTTCAAGTGCCGTTCGAACGCCATCAGAACACTGACGAGTGTCAGCAGCACGATCATCCCCATCCGCAATCCGTAAGCCTCGTTCAACAGTCGAATCGCGTCTAAGATCTTCTTGTACCTGTCGCAGAAGTACCTGATACTAGGAGCTTCTCCCGCTCCGCGCTGCCCGTACGATCTCAGCTTTCCGTTTAGGTGCTTCAGCAACGAACCCACCATCGACACGTCAAAACTGATTTGGACAACGATGACGGACACCATGGCGAATTCGAAGACTTTGTAAACGACCAATAGCTGATCGAAGGCCGTATTTGGAACGACGTAGAACTTATAGCCAGGCCACAGTAGCGAAAAACTAGAGAGTTCAACCACCGCGAGCAACGTTGCCAGTTTTCGTTCTTCGAAGTCGACGGTGTGGCGAAAATAAAGGCCTAAGTCGTCGGCAAGCTGCGCTGTCGCTTTGCTCAAACTCATCAACCTGTCGCTACGGAACCACACTGTCGTCAGAATGGCTGTGAGGTGGTTCAAGCTTATCAACAGGCCGAAGCTCAGCCTGAGAAAGTGGTCGGAGGCGCTTGCGAGATTTTTGAACCGGTATTGAACGCTCCAGATCGCCGTGAAGAACAACAGTACGCATCGTAGAGTCGCGTAGCATTTATAAGAAGTCGGGACTTTGTCTGTCGCGTGACGATTCGGAATCGTGAGCCCTAGTAGCAGCGCCATTTTGTGCGCCAACTTCACCGAGATCAGGTTGGGCCAGGCGTTTCCATATCGCGCGGAGATGACTTTTACCATCGCCATATCGGACAAGTGACTGAGTTCGTAGGCTACGGACGACCTATCCATCGATTTCCATTTAATGGGAATTTACATGTAAAAACGACAATAATTATTCTTGAACTGTCACTATATATCTACTGATTATCTTTTAATGAGAGTCGTCCAAGGGATACTTTCGGTTTTTTTTAATTACTTCAACGACTCGTATCTTATCAATGATATCCGTACAAGTTTTGACCGACAAAACGCATTTGTCAAATTGGTGAACTTAATTTCATGGAGTCTCTGATCGAACAGTTTTCGATTTGCTTTTTATGTTTTCAATCTTGGAGCAACAATACAAGAGTTTTGGAGAGTAGTTGTGTCGGTAACTATTTGGTGTGCTTAAGTGTAAAACTGTGAGATTTGTTACAACGATTTATCTGAAGGACCTAATTATAACACCACACCTCATTCGTATACACCCGCGAGTGTATACACCATAGAATTAAAATAAAACTGGGTTGCTTGCTAATAACTTATTAATTTCACATGATATGGATTGATTTCTAGTGCATACACCCGCGAGTATAAAAAGTTTAAATAACTATAAATTAATAAACTAAGTTACTTGCTAATAACAGTGTGTGTTGCAAAAATTTTGCTCAGTTAGACATTAAAAATGGCATGGATTGATTTCTAGTTCTGTAAACGGGAACGTTAAAATTTGTTTGTGACACTAAATTTCCAATTTGACTATGAACTATCCCCAAACAATAAGACGATTAATCCCCCCTGCAAAATCATTAGTAAAGAGGATAAACAGATTGACCCCAGATTAGATGAGACGGAATCATAACCCTGTAGCACCCCTATTATGAAGATATGTTTGAAAAAACTTAAGCAAACAAAATTTCTTCACTTTTAGGTCTGTTATATACTTCAGAGAGGACGAATTTCTTGCTGATGCGATATGAATAACATTGAGGAAAAGACTAAGTTCTTAAGCGGCAATATTCTAGCCCTTTTTGACAGTGTGACAGTTAAAACAGTTAGACTAAGCAAACCCTTAGCGTCATGGCTTACGAATGCAACAAAACAGATAGAAAACGAGAGAGATAGAGCAGTTCAAAAGTACAAAAACAACAAAACTTTCAAAAACTGGCATGGATACCATAGTCTACGTAACTATACTTTGTCATCAAATTGGATAACTTGACTTTTGTGTGGTAAACTAAAGAACTTTGGTTTCACTGTTCACTATTTTCACATTTCGCTAAAACTAATATCGGAATATCAGATGTGGGTAACGTTACTTCGGGCGTACCGCCGGGTTCAATTGTTAGACCTCTATTATATCTCTTGTACACATTTGATATGTCTAAGGACGTCAAATTTTATCAAATTCATTCATTCATAAGCTGACGACACCCAGCTAATGTGAATTATGATAACGTCGAAGCTAATCTTAGTTTGGATCTTAAAAGTCCTTCTCAATATAGTAAAAAACACATTTTAATCTAAATTCTAACCAAAAACACAACTTTTGCTATTTGCTCTCCTTAGAACCTATTTCTTTTCGTGTGATCATATTAAAATTAAATTGGAAAATAAAGATCTTAAATTTAAGAAGATTTTGAATCCAGCTCAGTTCTGGTATTTAGGGAAAAATTAGGGAAAAGATCCATATATTGGGATTACACAAGTCTCTGTCTAAAGAAAGTAATATTTTACCAATAATGAATTGTTATTATTATTTACTATTATTATTAATATAGGTTATTATTATTGTTATTGTTATTACTATTATTATTATTATTATTATTATTATTATTATTATTATTATTATTATTATTATTATTATTATCTAGGTTGAAATCCAAATTCATTAAATAATTTATTCTAATTGAATTATTTTTCATAAAAGGATGTCAATAAATGTCCAATGAAGACCGTATTATCATTGTTTACCGCAACGCGTGTTTGCAGACGAGAACCGCTTTGCTGTACGATGCGTTTAACGTTTTCGTCACGTCTCTCGCAGACGTAGAGGCAAACAACGTCACCGCCGCCATTTTACGCCTGGATTGCGACAAGCGTGAGACAGCCGAACACGGAGCACACTTAGCGGAGATGGCTAGAAAGGTATCCTCTTCGTTTTTAATTTTTAAGCCAGAAAATTATTTGACTGTCGCCATTCTGTTTTACGCATCAGACTAAAAAAGTCAATTTTTTTGCTGTTTTGGCTTATACGGTTCGGCAAATATGTATCATGGAAAATATTGACGAGAATTCATGAAAAATATTTCAAAAACTCGATACGGGTTTGAACCCGGCACCTCCGCGAAATTTACATTAATCTTTACCGACAGAGCTAACGCCAGCCAGTTGTCATTTTGCTATTCGGCGAACACTTTCTCGACCCGATATTTAGGAAATTTTTTTTGCAATATACATACCGCGTTCTTTATCGTTTTCCTTATTCTTCACAAGACAGGAAACATATTTCATCGGATGTACAGGGTGGCGCAATTAACATTAATAAGACCCTGAGGAAAAAAAGTTAAATAAAAAAGTATTTAACTGGAAGCATGTATTTAATTTTAGTATTTGTATGTATACAGGGTGTTCCGCTATCCCAGGACATTCACCAACTTTTCTTATAATGAAATGCTTTAGACATTGTTAGCAATTCTAATTATTTGCTTGATTTTGAGTATTTTTGTCATTTAATTTTTTTTACTCTTGAGAAAAATGAACTTTTTCAATTTGTTTTCGGAAAAACAATTTTTTGGAAAAAAGTGTTTTTAACACTAAATGCATATAATATCTTATTCTAGATTTTTTTAAAAACATTAAAAATTTTATACATTGCCTTTATCTTTGCAAATACAAGTTATATAAATTCATTTTTTTTATTATTTATGACCACCCTGTATAATATATTTTCGCCATAGATAGGTCAAAGCTTTAAACCTTAACCACCTAAATGGATCCATATTAAAAATTCCCAATTTGTTTCCAACTGTTAAAAAACTCATTTTTCCGCCAAAAAAAATGGAAAAGTTCTTTTACTCGTTCAGAAACTATTCAAAATTTCGCGTGCTATTTAAATAACTAGTTTTTTAAAATACTCATAGTATTTCATATTAAAAAATAAAAATGGTTACTGTCCTTGCACAACGGAACGCATTGTGTATATGAAAAATACTATGAACAAGTATATACTTGGCATCTTAAGTGCACCACCGTGTAAAATGGAAAATATTGGTAAGAACGGAGGAAAAATATTTTGAAACATCGACAGGGTTTGAACTCGGGATCTTCGCGAAGGCTCAATCAAACGTTAGCAACAGAGCTACTTCCTACTTTGAATTCGTTTGCTATTCGGTGAAGACTTTCCTGATCTGTTATGTAGGAAATTTTATGTTTGCGAAATACATACCTAGTTATTTATCGTTTTGCGCATTCTACTCAAGACGGGAGACATATTTCGTACGACAATATCGCATCCGAATAAAATGTGATTTAACCTTCTGCATACGACGCGCATATTGTCTCCCAGTGATCCAATTCTGTCGCACATCGAAGCCGGGAAGCTCTGGCAGGGAATTTTTAATATTTAATGGAATCACCGAGCATATCGTTCGACTATTGCGAAGCGCTTTTATTGGAGCTTTTACGGTTCGCTTTTTAATATTTCATACGCTAATGAGCCTTTCTGTTTTAACTCTGCGCTATTTTAAACGGATTTCCGGTACTCTGGAGAACGATTACGAGATGGTTTAAGATTTTGTAGCAGATTTTGAAAATAATTTGAAGACCAATCGACGGTGGAAATATAACTTAAAGCGGATTTTTATTTTCAAAAAGAAGGCGCTTCGAGGTTTATTGTCAAAAAAGGGACCCATTGTTTTTCTATCGTGTTCCCGCGGTCTACTATGGAACTTTCGCAAAATCGATGTCATTTAATTTTGCATGCGCCCTGTATAATTGACGAATCCTGACACACTCTCTCTCGACATAGTTTCCGATACTGTTCAAATCAATTTATCGCATCTTCAGCAGTTTTTCATTTATCCCCAATAATTTACCCACAAAAAAGGAAATTTGTAGGATGTTTTAGATTTTTTGCACATAACCGACACACCCTGTATATAATTCAAACAATATTCGAAATAGAGATTATAGCCCCGGATGTCCCACGTTTCCTGGTATATGATTCTTTCCAATAGAGGAAGTGGTTTTCAAGAAAATACTTGTTTTCTGAAACCATGGTGACGCGGCCCCATGCGTGTGTCAAATTTCGGCCACTTATCGTTTTTCGAGTTTCGACGTAGGTCATATCCGCTCTTGTAACCATAATTCATTTTTAGTTTTTCTTCCTTTTCACCTGTAACATTTCCAGTACCACGATTCCCGAGGGATATTACCAGGACCTTTGTCCGGGACGATCAGCTTCGATCGGCAAGGTCAGCGTCAGAATTTCGAGCTGCAGATCATCGAATACTCGAAATCGGAACCATCGCTGTTTCGACTCGTGGGCACTTGGAAGTCTAGCAATCCCAACGGCGTGTCGTACTCCGTCACGTCCGAAGAACGTGAGAAGGAGTTGCAGAAAGAGATCCAGCAGAAGAACTTTCGCGTGGTATCCAGGTAACCCTTAGCTGTAGATTGATCGCGAAGTTACGTCTATGTTCACGCTAGTTTTTCTGACATACTATTGTCAGTAAACAGTTATTTACTTAATTTTTCAAAGAAACTTCCACAGGCTACTGTAATACTTTTTATAAAACTTCTGGATAAATTCATCAACAGTTAACGATCTTAACCGCGACTCGGGTCTCTACCTGTCACCTCATTTAGCTCCGCCCCCCTCAAGTAATATAAAAGCAGTTACAGAGTAAAATGCGAGCTAGTTTGATTGGCGAAACGAGCTATTTCGAGTCAACAAAAACCGACGTAGGGAGAATCCAGAAGTTTTATAAAAAGTAGTTATTTGCTTAAATTGACAACCCAATAATGTGACGTGCTGTTCATTGCTCGTTTGTAGCACATGCAGATACAAATACAAATACTGTGTTTTAGAAAAAAATGTTAAATACAAATGTCCTAGATATGACTTAAAGAAACAATTAGGGAATAGAGAATAGTAGAGAGAAAGAATAGTGGGAATCTGACAATAAACAGGTTTCGCTGAAATAATTTTAAAAATAATTTATTTTTAAATGGCAATAGTCAAGAGCATTTTTTGCTATTACGAATGTTTTAAAATTTTCAACGGTCTTAGAGATATTTACCAAAAACCACAAACATCCAAATTGTATTAGTATTGGGAAACTATTAGCCACGAAGCCAGAATTGAAATATTATTAAAGCAAACTATGAAGCAAATTATTTTAACATAACCAGTTTCTTCTTATCATTTTTTATTTGCTTATTGTCAGAATTATTATACCTCTAGAATTACGAATAAAGCCCTCAAAACAGATCTAACGATTTTTTTAATTTTTTCTTCTTTCTTCACCCTGTAAGAAAACTGAGGAGTATCATTTGCTTAACAAACTGTTTGCTATATTCCAAAGCTTTTATTATTTTAATGATACCACAATGAACTTTACTTTTATCATTATCATTGAGTTGTATCTGGCTTTGTTAAAAGTGAGTACTAACTAAATTGAAAAGTGACCTCAACTTATTTTACATAAAAAATGTTGGGCCTCGCAGCTCAACCTAAAACTTAACCCTCAAAAATCGCGATAAAAACAAGGACCTTTGAGAAAACGGTGAACGAAGAATCTACGTTGAGGTTAAAGATAATGTTTCTTCCAGTTGCAAAAACAGCAAAATATTTAGGTTTACCTTTTGACAATTCTCAGTCATTTGATTTGCAAAAATATTTCCTCTACAATGCCTTAGTTCTTTCATTCAGCAAATTAAAAGGTCAATACAAAAATTGCAACACTTTTGCATTTAGTTTATCTTGATAACATTTTAATTGACTGTAACTTTCTGGTTTTCAGAGATATCAAGGTAAACCAAAAAAAAAGTGAAGTGTTAGTAGCCAAGTTTTTGTCCAAGTGACGTATAAAACAAAATTCTATCAATTTCCTGGCATATCATGCCTAAATAGAACACCCTGTATATTATACATGTGTTTAATAGAATATCTTGTTCCGATTACAATGATGTAAAACACTTTATAATTTAGTAGACTCGTTTTTGAAAAATCGGCAAAAATAGGAATTTTTTATATAATTTCAGATTGTGCCGTGACAACTAAAGTAGAACAAAAACACTAAAATGACAAAACACACTAAAGTAAAAAATTCTTTTACTATTTCAAACACTGCCACCATGTGACCACGATTTTCCTGAACACATTTCTCATACATTTCGATTGTATGATGTCTTGCATTTAGTATCCTTTTTGGATTGTCTCTTAACTGATTGATTGCCTCTGAAATCCTTTGTCGAAGTTCTACGACATTATCAAAATTAGTTCTATGCACTTGATTTTTTATGTGATATCTCTAAAAAAAAAGTTACAGCTAATTAAAATGTTATCAAGGAAAATTCATCCAAATATTAATTTTTTTTATCCTCACCTTTTCCAAAACTTGTACCAACACGTCCAAAAACTTTCAACAGTCCAAAATAAGATCATTTTTCTAAAAAACAAACAGTTTTGCTTAAAAATAAACGTTATTTACTTTGTTTCCTGGCCCCGGGACGCCATACTGAATTTCTCTTGACAATTCGTTGAGTCACCTAATTCTAACCTTACAACCACACTTCATCAACCAACCAAAACTAACCAATATATTTACAACGGTCAGATCATGCATCTCTTCATTGCCTGCCATTTTGAGTGAATCCGAATAAGTTTTTTTACTTGTTTTATAGAAACTTAGTTGTCACGCACGACACTGGTCTCGTCCATACATAACATTATTTTCAGGTACATTTTTTTGCGCTCATACTTGAACTGAATACGTCGTACAGGTTAGGGCGTACATGCGAACCTCATTAATCTTCCCTTATTTGCCTGCGGCCCTTTCAAATGGGGGAAAAAAGATAGGAAAAAAGATAAATTACACTGTATTGATAATATATGACTTCCGGTGGCAAGCGGCGGATTTCTTTTGTGCACTTCCGGAAGTATTATTAGCGCGGATTTTTTTTTCGTTCAATTACGGAGGCGTGGAAGCGGTTAGCGGGGAATATCGCTTTGAAAGGGTTGTCCTATTGTATTTACCTACGTAAAATGAGCCGCTAAATTGGCAAATAAGCTCCCACTGTACCGCATGTCAATTTTTCGATGGCTTTATGCTGACGAACAAATCAAAGAAGTTTCTTCATAACTCTGTGATATAAGGTACAACTTATAAAATGGAACTTTTTTCTTCTTTTTTTTTTTGTCAAAAAGTAAGCTTTAAAAAAATCGATGAAATCGAGGCCCCACGGGACCGCCCGTAGTAAGGATTGAAGGGGGGCCGAAAAAACATTTTTTTTGCCTCTCCGTTCTCTGTCGACTCTTCATAAAATCTTAATAATAACTTCGGAACTGCTGGAGCTAAGGTGCTTAATTTTTTTTCTTTTGGAACTAGGCACCTTAACCTATTAGAAACGGCCGCGATCTGACTTGTCCACTTTTTTGCGCTATTTTCATCTATCTCTTCGTACATCTCTACGAATCACGTTAAGTGTCCGAAAAGAATCATATCTCGACAACGATACAACAGATCGAAAAAAATCTTGAAATGTACAGGGTGCGCCCGAATTTGCAAAAAACAAAAAATCGGGTTAGTGGTAATTGACCATAAATAGAAGGCTGTGTTTCAATTGTAAAATTTAGCAGAAAAGTAAAAGTATACACTCACATTTTAAATCTAGATACAGGGGACAATCAAGAATCGACAAATTTTTATTGTAAAAATTTGAAATTTTTTTTTGGTTATTTTGGCTTCCGGAGAAAAATTATTTTCTCGAAAACTATTAACCCGATCTGCAAAATTCTTTATCCTAGAGACGCGAAAGGTCCGGTACACTAACTTTTATTTCAAGTATTTTTTCGTTTATATACAGGGTTTTTCAATTATGGACAAAAATAATGAAGACCCTGAAAATTGTTCTTTTCCATCAATCAAAATTCGTCAAAAATATGCCTAATGGTTTCGGGGCGCATCAAGATCTACAATTTTTGGGTTTACTGTTTTTAGCCTAAGATATTTAAAAAAATCCTTATGAAAATGAAAAAAAATATTTTCTCCAAAACTATCTCTCTTGGAAAAATTCATGAACCAGGAAACGTCGGAGATACAAGGCTATTATCTCTACTTCAAATGTTTCTTGAATTATATACAGAGTGTGTCGCTTATGGGCAAAAAATTAACAAATTAATTTAATGGCTTCAATCCGATTAAATCTGAATGGTTTTTTGCATAAAAACAGATGCCATCGTATGTAACGATCTTTAAAAAACACAAATTCTCAGATTCAAATTCAAAAACACAGCGTCAAATTAAATTTTAATTTAAAAATTTAAATATTAAAATTAATATTTTTAATATTTAATATTTTACATATTACACTGGAAGAAAAAAATTGTAGATACATGGCACTGCGAACGGATGATATCCCGGAATATAGTGTCATCATTATATATATATATATATATATATATATATATATATATATATATATATATATATATATATATATATATATATATGGATGAATGAAATGAATATGAATATGAATGAATGAAAATGAATATCAAGACGCATTTGATCAAAAAATTCGGGAAATCATCACATCCAGCAGAGTGTTTATTTTTAATCTTTTTAGTAAGTAAACTGTACTTTAAGAAAAGGCATTAAAAAAATAGTATAACATTTCGAAGTTCTGGAAAATCCGCTTTATTTTTTGGGATTTTTGGGCTATTTCCTCCCTAAAAAAATCGTTGTCATCATGTCTGGTATAACCCGAAGATTTTCTTTTTTTTTATTATTACTTTTTTATTATTATTTATTTTTTATTGCTTTTTTTATTATTATTTATTATTACCATTTAATACATATTGGAGAGTAACACTTTGGATTTAGTGCCAGTAGTTGAAAGTTTTTCTTTTGCTTAATTAAACTTCCTTGTTTTTTTATAAATAATGACTACTTTTATTATATTAGGAGTTTAAAAATGTGTATTTTTTGGGGGGAAATAAACACTACCTGTCATGGCAAATGATTTTTTCCCCCAACCTTGTTTGGTTGGGATAGAAACAATCTAAATATGACAATTAATTCTGCATAAAATACAGCAACTTCATACTTTTTTAGTAAGCTTTAGAGTAAACGAGATACGAGTGGTGTCGCAAAATGCAATGAAGCCAGAATTTTAGAAAAAAAATACCGTTCATCTCGATCATTCCAGACTGGGGGCCCCCTACTTGATGGCACGAGTCCCTGAAGAGGGTAAAATATTCTACGGCAATTCCCGCTTCGAGGGCTACTCGATGGACATAATGCAAGAAATTTGCAACGTGCTAAACTGCAGCTTCACTTTCGAGCTGGTTCCTGACGGCAAATACGGGAACTTCGACCCAGTGAAAAAGGAATGGAACGGATTGATAGGTCACCTTCTGGAGCGGGTACGTCGTAGATTGATTCCGTTCTTCTAGTCCTTATAAGTAGGTACAAAATTAGGCATGTAAGTCTTAGCAATCTGTAATATTTATAGCGCCCCACTTGAATAAAAAAATTAATAGATTTTTAAGAAAATTAATTTCCCTGTAATTCATTAAATATTAGAGCAAGCCTGTTAAAGAAATTTCCAAAAACAAAGAAAGAAACAAATGGAAGACTCATCTACAAACTGGTATAATAAACGAGACTCGGTCACAAGTCAAATACACAATAAAAGAGGAGAAGATAACATCAAATAAGAAGTGGATGACTAATGAAATATTGGCAATTATGGAGAAAAGAAGAGAAAATAAGAACGGAGATGAAGCAATTTACAGAGAAATAAACAGAAAAAATCGAAACAATGATTAGAAATACCGGAACTAGACCATCAACAACTTCTGGGATGAGAATGGAAGAACACTCAGCTCCCTAGAAGACCGTCATTGAAAGTATATATATATATATATATATGATGACACTATATTCCGGGATATCATCCGTTCGCTCGTTGAACTCCGACTGGAATCCTGCATCCGACTGGAATCCTGCAAATCCTGCATCCGACTGGAATCCTGCAGACGTTTCGCCAAAATCTCACTTGGCATCTTCAATGCTCGCGCTCCGAAAACACTTCGAACAGTGTTCGAAGTGTTTTCGGAGCGCGAGCATTGAAGATGCCAAGTGAGATTTTGGCGAAACGTCTGCAGGATTCCAGTCGGATGCAGGATTTGCAGGATTCCAGTCGGATGCAGGATTCCAGTCGGAGTTCAACGAGCGAACGGATGATATCCCGGAATATAGTGTCATCATATTTTTCCATCCGTGAATCAATACGTGAGAATATATATATATATATATATATATATATATATATATATATATATATATATATATATATATATATATGTTATATCCGGAAATCCTATTGTCCACATGGGTTAAATGCCACCGACCTGCAAGAGTGCAACGATTGCGAAAACGTCGTGTCAACGATATGTCGCAACATCCGCAGCCGTCGACCCCGTCAACGTCAGCATAAATTTATTATAAATACGAATTTCTGTTGTAAAACATTGTCTGATAACATTCTCTCATCGCGAGGTTATTATGTCCATTTTTAGTTGTATTTTAACGGTCTGATAACATTCTCTCATCACGAGGTTATTATGTCCATTTTTAGTTTGATTTTAACGGTCTAATAACATTCTCTCGTCACGAGGTTATTACGTCCAATTTCATTTTGATTTTTATTTTAATTTAAAATTAATAAATATATTTTTTTAAAAAGTTATTTTTGAAAAGTGAAATATAAAAATTGGCGCAGTCAGTAGGATCCGTTCACGTTGCTAGAACACGAGTATTCTAACTAGTGACGGCGGATTCCAATCCCTTAGACGGAAAGAAGAACCATCGCAGCCCAGTCGTGCCGGAACAAGGAACCTTCCATCACCGTTTCGAGAGGCAAGAATTCGGAGTAGGATCTGTTCACGTTGCTAGAACACGAGTATTCTAACTAGTGGCGGCAGATTCCGACCCCTAAATCTAGGGAACAACGAAGACAGCCCATCGTACCGGAACAAGGATAAACCCATCAACCGTCTCGAAAGGCAGCAATGAAAATAGTACTGTAAGTGTTAAGAATCGTTACGAATAATTTTATTTTTAATTTGCAACATTGTTGAATTTATTACGTTCGATTACCCAAGGTTGAAAAAAACCTATTTATTGAATTTCCCAACGTAGAATCGTTGCGCGATAATTATTTTGATTAAATTTTAATCTCCAAGTTTAACTTGGCAATATTTAAAACAAAAAATAATTGTGTTTGAACTTCTTATAAATTTATTTGCTTTTTCTTAAAACCTAAAATAATGGCAACTCAATCAGACGAACCTAGTACAATGCTGGAAGTTGAACCATATAAACTTTCGGAAATTTTCTGTATCGTACCTGAATTTGAGGGTGACCAAATCTTTTTAGGAAATTTTATAAACGCGTGTGATTGTGCTTATAATATGGCAACAACGCAACAAAAAATTCTTTTAGTGATTCACATTAAAAACAAGCTCCGCGGTAAAGCAGGTCAATTAATTAATTCTAGGAATCCTGATTCATATCTAGAAATAAAGAAACTATTAACTCTACACTTTGGTGATTCTAGAGATTTACCTTCCCTAATTCATGACCTTCAACGTCTTAAACAATTGCCCAATGAATCAGCATTAACATTTTTCAATCGTCTTCAAGTCCTAAATGCGAAAATGCATTCATGTGTTCAAAAATCCACCACATTAGGATCCAAAGAGCAAAAAGATGCTCAGATATCTTTAATTGAGACTATGACCCTTAATACACTTCTTACAGGCTTAGAACCTAGATTAGGTCAACTCATTCGTGCTAGTAATCCCACTTCACTTTTAGAAGCCCAAGCAAGGATTCGTCGAGAACTCCAACTCTCATATTTTGAAAATCAAAAATCTGTCAAATTAAATTCTCCTAAATCGCATTCTGCGAATATTCGAACCCCTCTTCAGCAACCCAAATGCACTTTGTGTAATAAAATTGGCCATACTTCAAATCAATGTAGAAGTACGCATCAGCATGTCAAACCAAATTTTTCGCAATATCCACAGCGACCTTCTAATTGGTTCCAACAAAGCAACATGAGCAACAACTCGAATCAAATACCGATGAAATCTTCAAACTCTTATCCTAAGCCACATTTTATGAATCCAAACCCGCAGCGAACTCATCATGTAAACTCAAACCCGATCTACATCGACGGTTATTCCGGAAATTCCCAGGAATTTTCACATGAAAATTACACTCTTCAAGAAGATAATGAACTTCAAAATCATTATTCTAACCATCCAGAAAACTGCGAACCAGAGCAGGATTTTCAAGAAAGCCCTTACGATATCCCACCAGACGAAATGTCTCCAGACCTGATTTTCGAAATCAATTCCCAAATTCAAACCCTGAATTTAGACAACATGAATCCCAATCTAAACTTTCCAGAACAGAACTTCTGTTAAACCCTCTTCTTACGGTAAATTCTAAAAATTTATACTATATTTTTGACGCTACGCAAAAATTCAAAATATTAATAGATACAGGCGCAGGTATTTCTATCTTTAAATATAAAACCGCTGAAAATTACAGAACACGAGTTAAGGAAAATATTACCATCCAAGGTATAACAAATCAAACACTTTTTATTAAAGAATCCACACTTATTCCATTCACCGATAACGACAAACATAAAGTATATCTTTACGATCTTGATATCGAATTTGACGGAATTCTCGGTTTAGATTTTCTTGATCGCTACCAATGTATAATCGATTTAAAGTCCAAAAAACTTATAACGAATTTCAAAACAATGCCTTTGCATAAAGTAGGACACGAATCTGTTCTTCCCAAAATTTGTAAAAAACCTGAACAAAATATTCAAAATCGAATTTCAATCGAACCTAGGACCGAAAGAATTTTCAAATTAAAATGTAGTTTAACAAACACAGACGCTATTCTCCACTCTCAAGAATGTGAAAAAGTTAGGTTACCTAATGCTTTAGTTAAAGTAAATAACAAAGGTGAATTTTTTACTACTGTTATTAACGCTAATGCAATCCCAAAAACTATAGATTTTTCAAATTTATCTATCGAACCTTTTAATACAAATCCTAACGAAAAAGAAGTAAATAATATTTTCAATTTAAATCCTCAACCTGTTGATAGGCGCGGTATAATTCAATCCCAGTTACGCACCGATCATTTAAATGAAGAAGAAAAAGAATTAATAACACAATTATGTCTTGATTTTTCTGATATATTCTATTTAGAAGGAGATCATTTAAGTTTTACTAATGAAATTAAACATACTATTGAAACGAACAACGCCAGACCGATTTTTACCAAATCATATAGGTACCCACATGTCCACAAACAAGAAGTAAAGTCACAAATCAACAAAATGCTCGAACAAGGAATCATTCGACCTTCCACTTCTCCATGGTCTTCCCCTGTTTGGGTTGTCCCAAAAAAATTAGACGCTTCTATGAAACAAAAATGGCGCGTAGTCATCGACTATCGCAAACTAAATGAAGTCTCTGTCGACGATAAATACCCTCTTCCCAATATTTCCGATCTCTTAGACCAGTTAGGCAGATGTCAATATTTCACTACTTTGGACCTAGCCTCTGGGTTTCACCAAATTGAAATTGATCCCAAGGACGTTGCTAAAACTGCATTTTCAGTTGAAAATGGTCATTTTGAATTTCTCCGTTTACCCTTCGGACTAAAAAATTCTCCATCCACTTTCCAACGTGTCATGGACAACATTCTCTTAGGTCTTCAAAACGAACGATGTCTCGTTTACATGGACGATATTATCGTTTATTCCGCTACCATACACGAACATATACAAAGGTTAACTGATGTCTTCAAACGCCTTCGTGGTGCAAACCTCAAACTCCAACCTGACAAGTGTGAATTTCTTCGAAAGGAAGTAGCTTATTTAGGGCATCTCGTGACCCCAGATGGAGTCAAACCCAACCCTGAGAAAATAGACGCTATTCAAAAAATTTCAGAACCAAAATCACCAAAAGACATTAAATCCTTCCTTGGTTTAGCCGGTTACTACCGACGTTTTATTCCCAATTTCGCTAAGATCTCAAAACCTTTAACTAGACTTCTCCAAAAAGACACACCCTTCATATTCAATTCAGAATGCAAAAATTCATTTAATGAGCTTAAAAACGCTCTAATACGTGACCCAATACTCATTTATCCAAATTTCGAGGAAACTTTTGTCCTAACCACCGATGCCAGTGCATTTGCCATTGGTGCAGTTCTTTCACAAGGTCCCATTGGAAAAGACCTTCCCATAGCATATGCCTCTAGAACTCTATGTAGTGCAGAGACGAAATATTCAACTATAGGACGGCAACTTCTCGCCATAGTA